TTTAGTCTCAGCCCTGGTCTTCAGTAGTTCTCAAGAATAAAGAGAACTTTTCACTGAATAGATACCAGACTACTGGGAGGCCCCAGTGTTTCCATATTTAGAATATTTCTCTTAAACGTATTATTTCAACAAACATTTAAACAACTTAAAGCACCTGTTAACATACAGCAGCGTGCCTAATGGCATCTCCTCCAATCCTGGGGGGGTCAGCCACTTTCCTCTGAGCCAGGCACAGGGGCACCAAGGTGTAAATCCTGCTGCGAGGGAGAAATTTATAGAAAGAGAAGGTGGTAGTCTTCCCTGCACCACGACTGGTCACGTGTAGGCCTTCTGGGCCCTGGGAAAGCAGAGCCTCTTAGATTGCTTAACAAATGGAATTGGCGAAGATGAAGAAACAGACTCATCACCGACAGACACGGCCGTGAGGCCCGCAATCGCCCCCTCCCGGCCCACACTCGCTTCTGGGAAGCCGGCCTCCCGTACGCACCCTGCTCGCGGGGAATCCGCACCAGGCAGTCCACCATGCCCTTGTACTGCGCCTCGGGGCTGATCTGCTTGGACGACGCCTGCACCTGCAGCAGCAGCTTCACCCGCTCGATGGGCGCCACTGCCGTCTTGGACACAGCTGCGGCGACCCCGCCTGCCAGCAGGTCCTTCCCGAAGGACGCGGCGTCGAAGAGACGCTTTTCCGCCTTCTTCTTCGCCTTCTTCGGAGGTTCACGCTGCATGGTGGGACGACGGACGTAAAAATGGGTCGTCCGTCCCGCTGCAGCTTAAAGAGAGCTTGGGATAGACGAAAGGAAGCAGAAAACCGCTTCACCTTCGTCCTGGCGGGAAAGCGGCGCTCAGAATGCCGGGAAACCAGAGCACCAGGGCGGGCGGGGGAGCTGCGCAGGCGCGTCCAACGGCCTCCTGCCGCAAGGTGCCAGCCACGTGACTCCCGGCACGTGGCTCCCAGGCGCGCGGTGCCGCCTGGGGAACCCTCGGTGCCCGGCTCTCCTGCCAGGTGGGGAAGCCTCGGTGCCGGGCTTTCGTTGCTGGGTCGGGGCAGGGTCAGGAGGCAGGGGGTTACGAGCCGGGAAGATGCGGCAAGAGACTTGAGAAAGCCCGTTCTCTATAAGGATATTTAGCAGCCAAAACTAGAACAGAGCAGTAAACCAACAGTTTGGGATTAACTGAATTTAGTTCTAGTTCCCAGGATTCCTTCCTTTTTCTGGTAGAAATCACTTTAATTTCTGCTCTGTTACTTTACCAGGGGTCGTTTGTCTAGGCACTATCCCACTGTCTGGTTTTGCGGATTGCACCCCCATGGCCTAATTCAACATGTTCCTCTTTCTCCTGTATTTTATTTAAATTGGTAATTCTGTGTAGAGCAGTGGTTCTCAATCCGGACTGCACATTCAAAGGAGACCGGGAGTGTTTTGTTTTGTTTTACTAATGCTTGGGCTTAGGGAATTCTGATGTGCAGGGTTGAGAACCAATGACCTATTCTAGAACAGTGGTTCACAACCTTTTTGATTTTAGGACCCCTTTTCACTCTTAAAAATTATTCAAGACCACAAAGAAGCTTCTTTTTTGTTATATATATTTACTGTTTTAGAAAGTGAAACAGATAATTTAAAAATATTAATTCCTTTAAAATAATAAATCCATTACATAAATAACATTTTAACTATTATCCAAAACAAACAAAAATGTATTGAGAATAGTGATGTTTTATATTTCTGAAAATCTCTTTAATGTGTGGCTTAATAAAAGACAGGTGGATTTACATGACTGCTTTTGCACTCAGTCTGTTGCATTATCACACATTGTGTAGCAGTGGAAAACTCCACTGTCTACTGAGACGAGAGTAAAACAGGCAAATAATATCTTTAGTATTAAGAAAAGTTTTAACGTCATAGAGTCCAGGATAGGGTCTTGGTGACATCTGTGGCTCCCTCATAACACACTTTGAGAACTCATCTGGAGGCGCATCAGATTTAGGTTTGACTTCTTTGGGCAATAATACTCAGTAGATGTACATCTATCCTGCACATGTTGTCTGTCCCTATTTTCTTCTACTTCACTTTTTCACTTCATGTATCCTGGGGATCCCTCTATAGTAGCATGTAATATATTCCTGATTCCTTTTTATAGCTTGTTTGATGGTTTCTAATAAATGGAGATTCCTTCTTATCTCTTCCTCTGTGGGACCTGCAGAGTCTTGAAACACATCTATAAAATAGGAGATGAGTTATTGACTTTTTTGAACTTTAGCTTCCAATTTTTCCTTTATTATCTTACGTGTGTTGTAATGCTTTTGATACTAGTTGTCATTAGTACAAAACCAAATATTTAGGCCAGAAGGATTCCAGAGCAGGAATTTTGTTAATATTTTGATTACCTCGTATAAAACCAGTTGCCAAGTCCTACTGGCACCATGTTTGGTGCTACCTTCCTTTCCATAGCAGCTTATTCGACTCTTAACTGGTTTTCCAGCCCGAATCTCCTCCATTGTACATGCTGCTGCCAGATTAATCTTTCTGAAGCAATTGTGTTAATAATCATTATTTCTAGGCTTAAAAAATTTTAAAGTCTTCACATTGCATTGACTTCAAAATCCTGTGAGAAATCCATTGCAAATTCAAGAAATGACTGGCATTGTATCTACAAAAATATGAAAAATGAAAGGTTTCAGTCTCCTTTAAGGAAGTTTGAAGCACTAACAAGCACACCGGGAGAAATTTAAGGGGAGGATTACTTGTATCACACTCCAGGCAAGACTTTCTTTTTAAGGTGCCAAGAGAGGTCAAAGGAACCATCTCTGGTCACAGGGAACATAAGTATTTCCAAGGACAGAAAAGCAAGTGTTCTGCTGCTCCCCTGGCAATTTTCTCTTCCTTCCTTTCTTGTCTTCCTTCCTCCCTGCCCCCTACATTTGACTCTACAGTAGACAATGTTTATAGCATATTCCTTTATGATATCCTCAGGCTTATTTCTGACATGTATTCATTGATAGAAGACAGCAAAAGTGAAAGTACTTAGAATTGTAGCTTTTTACCTTATTAAGAGCTTTGAATCAGCTATTTTCAATAGACTGAGCTGAAAATAAACATTTAACTTGCTGCATTGCATTTTATTTACTGATTTAGGGAACAAAAAAGTTCTAGTGATTTCTACATTGATATTAAAAGATGGAATCTCAGGGCCTTTGTGCTGTTCACTTGGCTTTCCTTAGAAATCAGCCTGGTTAGTCTCCTCACTTCAGGTCTGGGGTCACCTCAGCAACCCTTTCCCTGGCCACCCTCTCTCCCACACTTCATATCCCCTTTTCTTGTTTCACTTTTTTTTTCCTTGTAGTTTTTATCAACATATTTTACTTATTTGTGGTCTGCCTCTCCCACTGGAACATAAGCTCCGTGAGGGCAGGAATTTTTAGCTATTTGGTTCGGTGTTGTACCCTGGCATCCAGAACAGTGCTTGGCACAGAGTAGAAATTCAATAAATATTTGTTGGACAAATGCATGAAAAGGCAACACAACTGCAAACAAACTTCCAAACCATCTTTATTAAAAACTATCGATATTTTATAAAAATAGCTTCCATTATATAGAATATAGAAATACAACTCTACAAAATTAAATTATTTTCACACAGTTTAGTGTATAGATTAATGTCTTAGTAACATTTAATAATATATTTTAAAATATCCAAAGTATAATTGCTTGTTCTCAAAAGTGTTTAGTGCTGAATACTTTTTCTCAGCTTCTGTCCAACATTTTGTACAGAAGCAGGTATGATTTAGCTGACTCCTTGGTTTTCAACCAATGGATATTTAACAATAATAATAATACATGGTGGTAGCAGTAGTAGCTAACACTTTTAGAGCCCCTAACATGTGCCAGGCACTATTTAGAGGGAACTCACACAGACAACAAATAATTATTCATAATATTATTTTCAAGAATATTCAAAGCAGACAAACCTAGTAAATTGGTTTCACAGATTTTCCCATTTGTATTAGAAATATAAAAAAGCAGCCATGGCAAATTTACTATCTTGCTGGTAAGCATCATCATCAGTCCCTTGGCACAAATAAGAAACTCTCCCTTGCTGAGTACACTTCTCTAATCTGACAAAAAAAAGGGGAGGGAGGGAGAAGGGCGGGGGCTGGAATCTAAAATGTAATTTTGGGGGCTAAAAAATATATGATGGTGATAAGACAGTACTTGATATTTTTATAAATGGTAGTTATATAATTGTTTGCATTAATAGTCTTTGGTGAAAGGGAACATTTGCAGGATGCTAATAAAATCCAACTTGGATGTTTCTGTATCTGCTAATGCATACCTCTGGAGTATCTGCACCATCACTTTGTCCCCCTTTATTTAATAAAGTGGCAGATAGACACATTGTCCAATAATGAGACTGATCTACTTTCAGATGTGAATCTGAACATATTTGGAAAAACTGGCAGGTAAGTTTACTTACAATTCTTACTTACAATGCTTACTTCAATATCCATTTAGAGATGAAAACCAAGATAATGTTTGGTTTTATTTCTTTAAACTGCAGTGTCTCTGCAACATGGACATTACAGTATACATCTACAATACAGCAAATGATTTTCCCCTTATTAAGATTAGTAGTCTGCTACAAAAATAACTTTTTATTTCAGTTATTGAGCAGTGGTCTCATGATTCCTTGACACGGGGAAAGCAGTTCAAAAGACCAAAATTTCATTAAATGAAACAAAAAAAGTCCTCTATGATAAAACCCCAAGTCTTAGTTCTTAGTCTGTTTGAAAATCTGAGTTGATCAATAGCTGCATTTATTAATAATTCTCAGTATTAAAAATAGCTCATGGTGTTTCGGGAGATAATAAATACTTTTTAAACAAAGTGCCTTAATACCCTGTATATACAGTCAGGCGTTGCTTAACCACAGGGATACATTGTGAAAAAAATTCATCATTAGGCGATTTTGTCATTGTGCAAACATCATAGAGTGTACTACACAAACCTAGATGGTATACCCTACTACACACCTAGGCTATATGGTACTAATCTTATGGGACCACCATTGTATATGTAGTTTGTCACTGACCAAAACGTTATGTGGCGCATGACTGTATGTACACAAGCAGTCCTAAGACAGTAGTAAAGTGTCTACCATTTGACCAACGTTGTGATCTTAAGGGGAGGCTATTTCAAGCATTTTTCACATTTCAAGAACCAAGGTTTCTTGCCCTGCTTTGAATGCCAAAATTAAGGCCCATGAGTCACTAAGAGGACTAATAACAGTGGTCTGCATCTTAAATGCCTGGGTGAAAACCTCTTAAACTGATGACAGATGGATAATGGTGTTTCTAAAACCAAATGTTTCAAATGGTGCACCCACTATGTTTTGCAGTTAGTTCTGACTAAGCTGGAGGGCTCATGTTTGAAGTGGGGGAAATGCAGAGACTGGCTTGGGATGTGCTGGCATAATTTGCCTTCTAAAGCTTAAGTCCTGAAGAAAGAACCCAGTATTGTAAAGTCTTGGGGCATCGGAGACTTCAGGAGGATCCACTGGTAAATGTCAATTAAAAATGCAGTATTTGTTATGTTCTTCCTTCCTCTCAATCCACCAAATTCTCACAGCCAAAGAAAATTCTCATCCCATTAGTTTTCTTTCTCTACTAAAGTTCAAGTAAATTATTGCCCATTAAAGCATCTCCTTTTGGGAAAACCCAATACATAATTATTCATATTTATAAGGCAAAAATTAGTATTTAACAAAGGAAGTCACCATAGGATTTCTTTAGCCAACTTTTTCAGTGTTTTTAACATGATTAAAAAAATTTACATACAGCTTTCCTGAAATTCATGAACTGTATAAAATGTGTGTGTATGCCTGAATATAGTTTAACAAAAAGAAAAACAATGAAAGTTTATGGACAACTAGTTTAAAAAATATATCCTACTCGAAACAGAGCTGACCTGAAAGAGTAAAGGAAATGAAACAAATAAAAAAATAAGTTTAATTTTCATTCCTCCACTCTTCCTCTACAGTGAGGTATCTACTAAAATACTTAAAAAGTATTTGATCTAATAAGGAAGCAGTACTTGGACATGACAAATTTAGGTACTGACCAACAGGCAAGAGGAAAAAAAAAATGCACATTTTACTTAAGAGAGACTTTAGAAACCTCAATGCAATCGTCTCATTTGTACAGAACTCTGACCTCAGAGAGGTACAAAAGACTTGCTCATGGTCACAGCACTAATTAGTTACAGAACCTGGTCACGTCCTCCCTATTTCATCATTCTTGCACCAGATACAATATTGGTTTTGAGAAAAATACACAATGAATTGAGCATTTTTCCAAGATAAATATTTCCTATGTGAATTTTATATAAAACACTTCACATTATTTCAAACTAGTCAATAAATTAATGTTATATACCACAATGGAAATAAGTTAACAATCCTTTCTTCATATTTTGATCAATTATCTTTTCAAAAGCCTCACAATACCACAAAAGATTTAGTGCACCAAATCCAACAGCGTGTCATCTCAATATTTAACAATATTATGTTCAATACTGAACAGTGAAGAGAAACTAAACCTTCTCTCTTTGTGTATGGATTTCAGCAATTCTACCACTTCTCAATGCTCCAGGCACAGTGTTGCTGTACATCAAGAAAACACAACTACAAGGTTAATCCAAAGAATAATTTGAAAGCCATTTCGATGGCAATTTCTGTGACTGAGTCATGAAAACAGACGTAAAGTTCCTGAAGTTTGGGATGAAGAAAAAGTCTCCTGTAGAGGAAAAGAACACACTCATTTCAGAAATTCAAAGAACAAAGGAAAAAAACCAACCTTTCAATTTATTTTATTTTTTCTGTTTCTGAGAGAATCAGTAGTAAATTCAAAAACCACTAATCTAAATCTATAGTTGGGGGAAATGCAGCTAGGTTTACTTTTAAATAAATAATATATGCCTTAGCTCAATTATTTTTATTTTTTCAGGTTGTAAAAAAACCTACTTTATCAACATGTATTACCACATCCCTCAGTTTTTAAATATTAAATTCAGCCATTATTATTACAATAAAGCCAATGGTGTTACCACCATTTTAAGTACAATAGTTACTAAACATTGCCATTTACTTTCTAAAGGTTAATTACTATTAAAATATTAAATATATGATAGTTCTTTTTAGTAGATAGTATTGAATTGGGATTAACATTGAAATTTTATTTGGTTTTCTTGAAGAGTTAAAATTTTAATCTAAACAGATTGATTAAATAATCAATACTAATGTATATAAATCAAAATACTTAAATCAGGGGTAGTTCTGCCTGATTTCTTTAAATTTCTGTATTCTACACAGATCTGCATCATCGTAATGCAACACCTCTTGATTCTATTCCAGTTGTTGTGAATGTAGTTAAGGCTCCACTGCACACCTGCGTGTGTGCCTAACTATTCTTCTTATCTCTATTCTCTCTTGTGTCCACACCATTCCACTTGCTGCTCCCAGCTTAATCTTTCAATAGCATAGCTCTAATCACACTACATGGAATTGAGCTTATGCTGATGCTCCAAAGCTTGGCTGATTACACATCAGAATCACAAGGGAGTTTACTAAAAACGCAGAGTCCTCCTCCCATAAATTCTGGTTCAGTAGGTCTGGGGTGGGGCACAGGCATCTCTGATTTTAACAAGTGACTCAGGTGATTCTAAACCCCATGGACTAGCATATGGGAATTACTGCTTTGGATATTTGTAAAGCGTTTGTCATACAGTTTCAGACTACATGGTAGATGTCCAGTAACATTAGTCTCACCTAACTCTGTGCCCCTTCCTCCACCAATTCTTTACCCTACTCAAAGAACCCTCAGTGGCTCAATATTTCCCTCAATATTCAATTCCTTAGGAATTGAAGGCTCTCTCTGGTGGTCCTGACTTAACTTTCCAGCTTGATCTTTCACTTTATCTTTGTATATGTCATTCCTTTACCATCCTGGCAAACCAGTCTACTCACTGCTATGCCTTATGATTTCTCTTGTTTGGGTCTTTGTTCATCTCATCCTTTTTTAAGAATGTTCTATCCAAACCCAATTCATTTTCTAAACCAGATCAAATGGAATCTCTAAGCCTTTCTTTGTAATCCCAGCTTAGATTTTTCCCCCTTCCTCAGAATTCCCATAGCATTTCGTTGTATCAACTAATTTATTATATATGTACATCTATCTATCTCTCTATATCTATTTATCTATATAGATATCTACATATATCCATATAATATAAATCCATAAATATATAGATATTTGAGCATATTTCAGATTTCTTCTGCTAGACGTAAGACCATTAGGTGCAACAATTGTGACTTTATCTTTGTGTTTGCTATACCACCCACCCACCACCACATTTTGCCAAGCACATTTCCATTTACTAAATGGTTACATATTTATCAAGTGTGACTATGTGTCCGGTGCTGTTACACGTAGCAGTGGTGGATAAGACAGATATGATTCCTGAGCTCATAAAGCTGACATTCTAGTGAGGGAAAGACCATAAACAAACAAGAAAATAAACAATAAAGGGGTGACATAATAGAGAATAACTAATGTGGGAAAGAGATCATGAATTCTTTCTCTGAAGAGATGACCTGTTAGCACTGGTCTGAATATCAAGGAGCCAGACATGCAAAGGTTGAGAGGTAGAACATTCCACACAGAAGGAATAGCAAGAACAAGACTGGATTGGTGCCAATGTGGCTGTGCACAGTGGATGGAGGAGGGTGACAGGAGGTGGAAACAGAGAGGTGGGCAGGGGCCAGGGCAGGCAAAGTCTTGTAGTTGGCAGGGGTCAGCAGGGAGAGGAGAGGGGAAGAGAAGAGGGAAAGAAAGGAGAGGAGAGGGAAGAAAGGAAGGAAGTAGGCATGGAAGGAAGGAAATAGCAGTAAAATTGTGGTATCATTATCTTTTAGTGTATTACTAATATAATTTTGTGAGATAACTGAATAACCTTTTTTTTTAAATAGAAAAAGACTTGGGAGGAATTTAAAGGAGATAGCAAATAAAATTCTAAAATATATTAAAATATTATAGTTAGATTAATCATTCCATGCCTACATCTTAAAGTTTATCTCCTTTACCACTTTTCTAACATTTTACTTCACTTTCAAATACTTTTTTCCCACTTACCCTACTACCCAGTAAGCCATGACTGGGGGTGCTTTTCTCTGATCAGCCCAGTTTTCAGGTGAGCACTCAAACAACACACCATGTTCTCTCACAGGGCTAAGAGAAGACACTGAATTTGTAGAACCTGATTGATCTCCACCATTTCGTGCTTTCTTTTTCTGTAATTTCATAGGTATTATTAGTATTAACTAGTATTAATAGTGTTAATTTAAAATGTTTTAACATATAGATTTTTTTTTTTTTTTGTGAGGAAGATCAGCCCTGAGCTAACATCCATGCTAATCCTCCTCTTTTTGCTGAGGAAGACGGGCTCTGAGCTAACATCTATTGCCAATCCTCCTCCTTTTTTTCCCCCCAAAGCCCCAGTAGATGGTTGTATGTCATAGTTGCACATCCTTGTAGTTGCTGTATGTGGGACGCGGCCTCAGCATGGCCGGAGAAGCAGTGCGTCGGTACGCGCCCGGGATCCGAACCCAGCCACCAGTAGCGGAGCGCGCGCACTTAACCGCTAAGCCATGGGGCCGGCCCTCACATATAGATTTGAATTGGCTGATCCTCATACTTAAGTTTCTGCAGCGACATTCTTCTCCTTACCTGTAGCAACATTTCTACTCTTCCTCCTTCTTACTTTAAATACCATCTTCTAAAGGAGACGTCATGGATAAAGTGTGCCTTGACTCTCCCAGGAAACATTTTGTTCACAGCCATATGTTATTAGAATTTACATTATATCATATAAGCAGTTTATAGGTCCATCTTCCCCAGTGCATTATAAGCTTTTTTCCAGGACAAAGACGATATACTATTCTAGTCATCTTTGTATTTTCTGAAAGCAGCAGTGCCTGGTACATAGTAGGTACTTAATGAATAGATTACTAATGAGTAGGTTACTAAATGAATAGATGATTTTGTAATATACTTAAAATACTTACACTTAAAGCAGTATTGTTTCTCCTCTGATGTATACTCTCTAAATTTCCCATTGATTAAATCATTAGCAAAACAGTAATTCATTTGGAATATAAAGACCTTTTGTAAGGCTCAGGCCAAAACAGTGGAGTGATCCTAGATTCTTCTCTTTCTCTCATAATCTTCATCTAATCCATCAACAAATCCTTTTGGCTCACCTTCCAAAATATATCCAGTCTCCAGAAGCCACTACCAATTCTTGCTTTGAGAATTTCCATAGCCTCCTAACTGTCCCTGCCTCCACCCTTGCTAACCTACATTGCCTGTTCTTCCCACAGTAGCCTGAGAGACCCTTTCAAAAACTAAAGATCATGTCCCTGTTCTGGTCAGAACTGTCCAAGAACCTCCCATCCCCTTCATAACAAAGCCCAACGTCCTGAAGTCTATCAGGCCATGCATGATCTGGCCCTGCTGCCTACACCATCTCAACTCCTACCACTCTCCTCCCCAGGCAGTCTGTTCTAGTGCTTTCAGCCACAACTTCCTCTGTGGCTTTGCTCTTGCTATTCCCTCTGTCTGGAAGCTCTGCCTCCAGATCTGCCACATGGCTTGCTCCCTCACTTTATTCAGGTCTCTGTTCAAATATTACTTGACATGATCAAAGAGATCTTTTAAAATAGTAACCCCCACTTCTCACCCTTTCCTTGTTTGCTCATTCCTCTTGAAACTTATCCTATCTGACATATTACACTACTTGCTGATTCATTAGTCTCCCCTGTTAGAAGACAGGCTTCATGAGGAAAGGGACTTTGTTTTATTCACTGCTGTATCCACGGCACTTAGAATAGTGTCTGGTGCATAGTAGGTACCTCAATATTTAAATAATATGGGAAAGGCTAATTTACATTACTAAATATTACTGAATAAGTTAATGAAATAGTCCCTTGTAGAATCTATCAGTTATGTTCAATAGGAAAGGAGAAGCATAAGAATGCAAAGCACATAGGTAAACATAGTCAAACATCACATTCTGGTGAACACCAATTTCTGATAGTTCAAGGAAGAAATCCTATAAGACACAGAATTTTACTGCTGAATGAGTCCTAAGAGATGATATAATTCAGCCCACTCACTTTATAGCTGAAGAAATAGGAAGAGTCTAGGCTCAGTCTAGGATTCCTTATTCATAGCTCAATGTTAAACTCAAGTTCTTCACAAATTTAGCATCCTTAACACATGTGTTGCTATACACATTACAGTCATCCTCAGAGAGGTTTTTCGACTGTACGACGTTTGACCAGTCACAAGTAAACTTCTGTATGTTTATCCTTTTCAAGAAGTCAACACTTACCTTTCCCTGCCAATAAAACAATCTAATTGATATTTTAATTATATACAACATTACTACCAGAAGGTAGAATATTAAATGAAACTTCATTCTGCATTGAAAAGCAATTAAGCAACCAACCAAGTGACTAAAACATTTGCAACAGTATTGTGTCTATTGCTGTACTTTACCTCATTATGTTCCAAAATACCTTATACTGCTGGTTGGATACTTAAAGAATTATCAGAGTTACCAAATAGTAGATATTACTGTCCAAATAATGGTTGAGTCACAGATATCAAACATGGAAGGCTAATTTACATAAAAAAATACTATATTCTACTTTGCTATAGAAAAACACAGGTCCACCATTTCCTGAAATAGTAATCCAAGACATCAAACTCAGTATTACGAAACAAAGGTTTGAAGTTAAGTACTGTGAGTATAATCCTTTTGGCACTCAAGTTAGATTGGGTGACCGTTAAAAAAAATTTAAATGAAAACAGTCACTGCTGGACATATTGATTAAAAAACTTTTAGAGAGAATATTTAGAGACCTGGAAAAGAAACTGGCAGAAAACTATATTTATAGCAGTGCCCTACCTCTTCCACCAATGTCTGCTGGAAAATTGCACGAATGGAGAGACAACACTGATGGAAATTCTTTATTAGCTGAGGGTGGAGAGAGCCGCTTAGCTGTGCCACCTCTTCGTGGGTAGGGGTAATAAAGATCCCTTGCACTGTTTCTAAGGCAACATAGTGGAAAAGTGTGTTCTCAGGACCAGATGTCAATCTTGAAAAGAAAAAAGATATTTAAGTAAACTTAAAAACATTCTTTCATTTTGAATCTTGTAGACTCCTAATAAGCTTTTATGTACAATATAATATTAGGAGTGTAATTAGGGAAGGGAAACTAGGCCAAACATTTAATTTCTTCTTCCTCCTTGACTGAAGTACAGGCTAGAGGGGTTATTAACTCCCTTATGGAGGCAAATACTACATGTTATGCAAGGATAAACAAACACCAATTCATTTGCAAGTAACTTAATCATCCCTTTGCTAACCAACCCCAATTGGCTAAAACCCTGTTTTTCCATGGTTGGTAATGAATAACTCAGCCCATGTCTGGTCTAGATATCTACAAGCTACAAACAAGGTATCAGTCTAGGGTGGACCACATATAAAAACACCTTCCAACAAACTAAACACATTTAAGTTAGTAGCATTAAAGTCTTTTACCATGATAGTCAAACTGATGATCCCGAAGAAAAATAAAATTATTATCACCAACTGCTGAGCTGGGTTAATATTCTAAAATCCCACAGCAATTACTATTAGCATTCTACTACTTCTCATCATTACAGTCTTCCTTCTCTCCTATGATCCTTTACTATTCTCCTTTCTTCATTCTTCTTCTCCATCTTTTCTTCCCCTATTTAGGTCTCAGACAGGCCAAAGAACACATCAATACTGCTTATTTCTACCAGTAGTAAGAAGAGCTAAAGAACAACTATAATAGCAACAACAAAATAATAATAATAATCATATACTGAATGCCTTCTATATGCCAGGGTAGGTGCTTTAAAATACCTTCGTCTTAATTCTCATAATGACCCTGCAAGGTAGTCAATATTGCTCTCTTCATTTTAACCATGAGGAAATCAATGTTCAAAGGACTTGGATTAACCTGCTTGAGGTCCCATGGCCAAGTGGCAGAGCTTAGCTGACTCTGAAGCTTGCTCCACTATACCTTGCTTTTTCCTCTCCACTGCTGACTTCTGATTTGGTAATCTTTAAATATATGGACATCAGTTCCCCATCTGCATCTCAGACACTCAAGCTGCCCCATTCTAATTCCATTGTCTATATTAAAAAATTCCTTTAGTTGATTTTTTTTTTTCAGCTATAAGTACAGAGTCAAAGAAAAGGCATATTTCAGCTCTCTGGCTAGATACTGTCTTAATCATCTATGCTAGTTAAATTCCTGTTAAACTGTGAATTAGGTAGCATGATCAGAATAACTTCTTCTGGATGGAAAAAGATACTCCATGCAAATGGCAATGAAAAGAAAGATAGGGTAGCAATACTTAGAGAAAATAGACTTTAAAGCAAAAAACTGCAATAAAGAGACAAAGAAGGGGACTACATAATGATCAAGGGAACAATCCAACAAGAGGATATAACACTTGTAAATATGTATGCACCAAACATAGGAACACCTAAATATATAAAGCAATTATTAACAGACATAAAAGGAGAAAGAGCAACACAAGAATATTAGGGGACTTTAACACTCCACTTACACCAATGGATAGATCATCCAAACAGAAGATCAATAAGGAAACATTGGTCTTAAATGACACATTAGACCAGATGGACTTAGTAGATATATATAGAACATTCCATCCAAAAACCACAGAATACACATTCTTTTCAAATGCACATGGAACATTCTCGAGGATAGATCACGTATTAGGCCATAAAAAAAGTCTCAATAAATTAAGGAAGACTGAAATAATACCACGCATCTTTTCTGACCACAACAGTATGAAACTAGAAATCAACTACAGGAAGAAAATTGGAAAAGCCACAAATATGTGGAGATTAAACAAAATGCTACTGAACAACACTTGGGTCAATGAAGAAACCAAAGGAGAAATAAAAAAATACCTAGAGACAAATGAAAATATGACATGCCAAAATTTATGGAATACAACAAAAGCAGTTCTAAGAGAGAAGTTTATAGCAATACAGGCCTACCTCAACAAACAAGAAAAATATCAAATAAACAATCTAACAGTTCACCTAAAGGAACTGGAAAAAGAACAAACAAAGCCCAAAATCAGTAGAAGGAAGGATATAATAAAAATCAGAGCAGAAATAAATGAAATGGAGACTAAAAAAAGAATAGAAAAAAATCAATGAAATGAAGAGCTGGTTCTTTGAAAACATTAACAAAATTGACAAACCTTTAGCTAGACTCACCAAGAAAAAAAGAGAGAAGTCTCAAATAAAATCAGAAACGAAAGAGGAGAAATTACAATGGACACTTCAGAAATACAAAAGATTTCAAAGAACACTACAAAAAGCTATATGCCAACAAATTGGATAATCTAGAAGAAACGGATAAATTCTTAGAATCATACAACCTTCTAAAACTGAATCATAAAGAAACAGAGAATTTGAATAGACCAGTCACCAGTAAGGAGATCGAAACCTTAGTAATCAAAAACCTCCCAAAATATAAAAGTCCAGAAACAGATGTCTTCCCTGGCAAATTCTCCCAAACATTCAAAGAAGACTTAATACCTATCCTTCTCAAACTCTTCCAAAAAATTGAGGAGGGGGGGAAGCTTTCTAACTCATTCTATGAGGCCAGCATTACCCTGATACCAAAACCAGAAAAGAGTAACACAAAAAAAGAAAATTATAGGCCAATATCACTGATGAACATTGATGCAAAAATCCTCAACAAAATACTAGCAAATTGAAAACAACAATACATTAAAAAGATCATACACCATGATCGAGTGGGATTTATTCCAGGTATGCAAGGATGGTTCAACATCTGCAAGTCAATCAATGTGATGCACCACATTAACAAAATGAAGAATAAAAATCACATGATCATCTCAATAGATGCAGAGAAAGCATTTGACAAGATACAGCATCCATTTATGATAAAAACTCTGAATAAAATGGGTATAGAAGGAAAGTACCTCAACATAGTAAAGGCCATATATGACAAACCCACAGCTAACATCATTCTCAATGGAGAAACACTGGAAGCTATCCCTTTAACAACAGGAACCAGACAAGGATGCCTACATTCACCCCTCTTATTTAACACAGTATTGGAAATCACAGCCAGAGCAATCAGGCAAAAAAAAGAAAAAAAAAGGGATCCAAATTGGAAAGGAAGAAGTGAAACTGTCACTATTTGCAGATATCATAGCTTTATATATAGAAAGCCCTAAAGAATCCACCAAAAAACTTTTAGAAGTAATAAATGAACATGGCAAAGTTGCAGGATACAAAATCAATATACAAAAATCAGTTGAGTTTCTATACACTAAAGATGAAGTAGCAGAAAGAGAAATTAAGAATAGAATCCCATTTATAATTGCAACAAAAAGAATAAAATACCTAGGAATAAATTTAACCAGAGGTGAAAGACCTGTACACTGAAAACTATAAAACATTGTTGAAAGAAATAGAAGAAGACACAAAGAAATGGAAAGATATTCTGTGCTCTTGGATTGGAAGAATTAACATAGTTAAGATGTCCATACTTCCTAAAGCAATCTACAGATTCAATGCAATCCCTATCAAAGTTCCAATGACATTTTTCACAGAAATAGAATAAAGAATCCTAAAATTTCTATGGAACAAGAAAAGACCCTGAATTGCCAAAGGAATCTTGAGAAAAAAGAACAAAGCTAGAGGCATCACACTCCCTGACTTCAAAATATACTACAAATCTATGGTAACGAAAACAGAATGGTGTTGGCACAAAAACAGACACACAGATCAATGGAACAGAATCAAGAGCCCAGAAATAAACCCACACATCTATGGACAGCTAATTTTCGACAAGGCAACCAAGAACACACAATGGAGAAAGGAATGTCTCTTCAATTCAATAAATGGTGTTGGGAAAACTGGACAACCACAAGCAAAAGAATGAAAGTAGATCATTATCTTACACCATACACAAAAATTAACTCAAAATGGATTAAAGACTTAAATGTAAGACCTGAAACCATGAAAATTCTAGAGGAAACACAGGCAGTATGCTCTTCGACATTGCTCTTAGCAGCAAATTTTCAAGTACTGTATCTGACTGGGCAAGGGAAACAATAGAAAAAATAAACAAATGGGACTACATCAGACTAAAAAACTTCTGCACAGCAAAGGAAACCATCAACAAAAGGAAAAGAGAACCTAACAATTGGGAGAAGATATTTGCAAACCATATATCTGATAAGGGGTTAATATCCAAAATATATAAAGAACTCATACATCTCAACAACAAAAAAACTAACAACCCAATTAAAAAAATGGGCAAAAGATCTGAACAGACATTTCTCCAAAGAAGACATACATATGATCTAGCAT